GTGGAAGGTGTCCCTGCTCATGGCAGGGGGTGGCACTGGATGAGCTTTATGGTCCCTTCCAACCCAAACCATTCTGGGATTCTATGAAATCACACAAAAGAGGTGCAAGTTCAAGAATTGCTCTCTTGAAAATCAACCTCTCCACCATCTCCAGGCCGACCTGCTGCTCCAGGTAACGTGGATTAGAGCTCAAGGGATGGATTTGATCCAGTGCAAGCACTGTTTGCTCAGAGAGCATATCTGTGCTCCAGGGGAACAGTGCTCCCAGGGGACAGGACACCAGGCATCCCCATTCCCAGCACACTGGAGTCTCTTCCCACCCATTTCTGGCACCCTGAGCCCTCCTGAACCCCTCAGGGAGCGTCCTTTTGGTGATGGTTACAAACACAACAAATGGCCTCAGCCCAGTTTCTCTACCAGACGGATTAAACTCCTTCTTTTACAGCCCAAAGCCCCAGCTGGGCTCAGGTATTCAGACTCTGACCTCTCCCAAGCACCATCCATGCAAACCACCCTTCCACCTGGACTCCAGGGAGGGGATGGTGCCACCTCCATGACAGGGATGCTGCAGGGATACCAAGTGCTGGCTGCCCCAACCCAAGCAGAGAACCAAGAGGCATCAAGAAATATCCATATCCTGCCTGAACTGGAGTGAGGAAAGACAGGGATCCTTATTTCCTAATGAATCCACCTAAGAAATGGATCCTAATTTCCTCCCAAACCGAAAGTGTCACAGCTGCCACAGGCCATGTCCCCTTTGCGTGGAGCAAAGGGAATGTGGAACCTCAGCAAGGTCTCACCAGCTTTGAACACCAAGTCCCAGCTCCAGTGAGGAGCTGCTCTGCTCTGGCACTCCCTCCACACCTCAGGATTCCCCACTGGACTCGGGATCAGTGCACAAAGCCCCCAGCCAGTCCCAGGAGTGCCACAGGTCCCTGCTCTGGCTCAGGAAGCCAATCCCAGCTCCGAGGTCAGGAAGGCCAGCCAAGCTCTGCAGTGGCTGCCCCTCGCTCCCCATCCTGCTCCTCGAGGATATTTCTTGCATCTGTGCTACACAAGCTTTCCTTGGAGCAGAACTGCTCCATCAGTAGGGATTGGCTGGAGAGCAGGAGCCTCAGCACCAAAGAAGTGTCTTGTTTTAGGCCAAAGCCTGGGAAACCCGAACTTTTGGAGGCCTCTGCCCCACGCACCAGTTGGACCTATGATAAAACCTGAAAACATTCCTGAGCTCAGGATCTTCCCCAGCCTGGGCAGCAGTGACCAAAGGGTAAATCCACACCCCTGGATGATGTTCAGTCAAACGTGAGGGTGGGGAGGCCCTGGCCCAGGTTGCCCAGAGAAGCTGTGGCTGCCCCTGGATCCCTGGAAGTGTCCAAGGCCAGGTTGGATGGGGCTTGGAGCAACCTGGGCTGGTGGGAGGTGTCCCTGCCCGTGGGAGGGGGTGAGACTGGATGAGCTTTAAGATCCCTTCCAATTCAAACCATTCCATGATTCCGTGATTTTAGGCATCCAAGAAGCCACACACAAATCCCAGCAACCCCGGCACCCGCAGGGAGAGGGACCCAGCCCCTCTCCAGGGATGGCTGTGCCAGCGGGACCCTTGTGCCACAGTGACACCCCCAAAGACAGTCCTACCCTGCCTGCCCCCCCCCAGCACCCCCAGCACCCCCCAGCAGCCCCTCGCACTGGGGGAAGCCTTTCTGCCCCCAGGGCAGATGTGGGGTGGAGACCAGGGAAACTCCCTTTTGGGGTGCCCGTCTGCAAACCCTCCCACTGCGACGGCGGCGAGGCTGGGAAGGACGCTGCCACGGTGTGAGGGCTGGGCAGGACCTGGGCTGGGTCACGTTTACCCCATGGAATCTCAGGAAAGCCGGGAATCCCAGAGCACGGCCGGGATGCACCCCCTGCACCCCCATCCCCGGGAGCCGCATCCCTGCAGAGCCGCGGCCACCGCCGAGGGGTCCCGGCCGCTCCCCCCCTCTCCCCGCTCCCGGTGCCCGGGCTCTCGGTGCATCCCAGCGGGGATGGGATGCCCCCCCGGCCCGGGATGCCCCCGCAGCTCCCCGGACCCCCCCATCCCGTCCCGCCGCCGCTCGTACCTGTGTCCAGCCCGGAGCCCGTCTCGGGGGGCTCCAGCCCCGCCGGGCACAGGGGCAGGGCACAGAGCAGCGCCAGCGCCAGCGCCCCGCCGAGCATCGTGCCCGGCCCCGGCCCCGCCGCATCCCCGCCCGGCCCCGCCGCCGCCGCCGGGGCAGGACGGCCCCGGCCCCCGCCCCCGCCCCCGCCCCGGCCCGCCCGCACCCCCCTCCTGCGGGGGGGACACGGGGGAACCCGGCCCACGACCCCCGGCACTCCGCCCCTGCCCCGCACGCAGCGCGGCACGGGGGGGACACCCGGTCCTGCGCCCCCGGGAGCTCAGGGGTTAATGCCCCCCATCACCCACCCCCCAGAGTCAGATGGGCTTCCAAGGCCCCCCGGCGCTGCAGGGGTTAATGGCCCCCACCACCAATCCCTAAAATCAGACGCGGTTCCACCTCCCCTCCCCCGGCGCTGCGGCAGTTAATGCCCCCCATCATCCTCCCCCCCAAAATCAGACGCGTTTTCAAGGCCCCCCAGCACTGCAGGGGTTAATGCCCCCCATCATCTTGCCCCCAAAATCAGACTCGCTTCCAGGGCCCCCCGGCGCTCAGGGGTTAATGTCCAATATCATTCTCCTCACACCCCAAAACCAGACACACTTCCAACACCCCCTGCCGCTCAGGGGTTAATGCCCCCCACCATCCCCCCCATCCCAAAATCAGACGCGCTCCCAGCGCCCCCCGGGCGTTCAGAGCCTGGGGATGGGAGTCCCCTTTCCCCCCGAGTGCGGGGCTACACGGGGTAGCACACAGACAGACAGACAGACAGACAGACAGACAGACAGACAGACAGACTGACAGACAGACAGACTCCCCCCCCACACACACCGGATTGTGCGTCCCGCGGGTGCTGCAGGGGTTGGTGACACCCCCCAGTCTGCCCTCTACAGCTAAAGGGGACATCCTGCACCCTCCCCAGGTAAAACTTGCTGTGAATGTTTCTCAGGGGGTCTCACCCCCCCAGACTGTGCCCCAGCCCTGCTCCTGCAGGGGGACAGGACACAGCAGCTTCCCACTGGGGCATTTTGGGGTGAGCGAGACGACCCCAGTTCTCCAGTGAGAGCTGTACTGGGTATAACCCCCCCTTTCTGTAGAGTCTGGGCCAGTTCACCCCCTGCCTGGGATTACTGGGGTACACCTGACCCAGCCCAGGTCCTGCCCAACCCTCACACCATGGCAGGGTCCCCCCAGCCGTGCCACCATGGCAGACTGGCACCCCTGAAGTGAGTTTCCCTGCTCTCCACCCTACACCTGCACTGTGCCCTGCAGTGCCCCACTGCAGCCCCTGCTCTGTGCCCCACTCCAGTGCCACCAGTATCACTCCTGAGGCCACACTGCCTCCCACGTGTGACAAACCCCAGTGTCACAAAGCCACAGATGCCCTGTGGGGGTTTTGGCTCAGGCCCAAGGAGGAGCCAGGCTCACTCCCAACCCTCTCTGCACCGTCACCCAGAAATCCCCAAAATATGGGAACCTTCAGCAAGGGGCAGCTGGACACCCCTGCCTTCGGGTGGGCAGCCCTGGCAGAGAGCAGGAGATGCTCAGGTGCCCAGTGTGTCACCTGGGTGTCACTTTGATGACAGACACTGGGAAATGAGGATTCTGTGAGATCCTCCCCTTAAATCCCCATTGCTGCTTGAGGCAGGAGCCAGTTTAGGAGCAAAATGTGCCACGCTCACCCCTCTCTCCCCGTTTCCAGGCCCTTCCCCTGTCACACACTGACTCAGCTTGTCAAGGAAATGAAGGTCAGAGACACTCCTGGAGTCTTTTGCTTTGCCATGGACTTTATTTGTCAAGAACATGTGACACGGGTTTGCCTTTCCTTTCTGAATCCCATTGATTCCCAAGCTGTGACCATCTGTCCCAGCAGCACATCCCCCATCCCATCCCTTGGCACCTCTGCTGTGGCACCTGGGGGCTCTGCCCTCAGCTCCGGGCACATCCCACCACCCCACTGCAGGAGGAGGTTGGTTGGGTGGATCACCTGCAGAACCAGGTCTTTTTTAGGATCACAGGTAAAACCCAGTCTTTTAAACGCTCTCCAATCCATGAGGAGGAAAAAAACCTTGCAAAATTCACAGAATTATTCTGCCACAGTCCTGTTGCTCAGCTCAGCATCCTTTTTTGGTACACACCATCATTTGCTGTATCCAGAAACACGACCACATCCACTCCCCTCCTCAGCCTTCTGTGAGAAAATTCGGGTTTACACCCCTGTGGGTATGTCAGACTTTTGTGCAGGAGTAGCTGGACAAGGACCTGCCTCCTCCTCCTCCTCCTCCTTCTCCTCCTCTGTTTGTGCCATGCTGGGCAGAGAAAAGGCTGCCACAGAGAGAGAAATAATAAAAACAGACACAGACAAAGCCAGTGCTGGGATATTCTGTTTCAGAGCAATGACAGAAAGTGGAGATGAGGATAAAATGAATAAACTACGGTTATTGATACTGTTTGCTTTGAATTAACACAGCTCTGCTCCATCAGCATGTCCCAGGTGGGTGGAGGGGCTCTGTTCTGGTATTTCCATCCCCTCACTGGGGGTTGGTTTGCTCAGACCTTCCTTTTCAAACACCCTCAGCAGTTCCCTCACCCACCCCAGGACTTCAGCCCCACAAATACTTGAGACCCCCCAGGGTCACCACAGAGCTCCTCACCCCTGTCACCATCACCAGCACTTCTCTTACTGCTTCCTCGAGTTCCCCTTCCCTTTGAATTCCCCCCAGTCAACCAACACATTTCCCAGGGAGATGCCCAATTCCCAGTGACAGTGACACTTCACTGGGATCCCACAACAAACCTGTGGATGCAAAAAAATCACGGACACGCTGGTGATCTGAAACACGGAGACACAAAGGAGGCAGAGCAACCCCAACCTTGTCCTTGCCGAGTGACCCTGGGCAATTCAGTCCCCTCCAAGTATCTCAGTTTGCTCTTTTTTATCACATAAAAATGCAAAACTCGCCTCTTCTGCAAAAATATTTTGGAATGTGCCGAGGGACAGCGTTGAGTTGAGGCTCCTTATTGTGATCAGGCACTTTCTGCAAACGGTGTTTTCACAGCCCGGAAAATATCAGGTGATCTACTTAGAATTGATAAAGAGGGATGAGATACTCTGGGAGAAATAATTCATCACCTTGGAGGGCAGGCAGGAATCTGCAGGCACCGTCTGCAGCCGTGGCTGGAATGGGAAATCAGCTCCAGGGAATACAAAAGGCCAAATTACCTGAGCACCTTGGACTCGGTGCCTCACCCTGAGTTTTCTGCATCCTAAGACAAATATTTCAGGGAACGACCCTCAAAGAGTGGCAAGATGAATCAGGCTTTTCCCCTTTATGTTCTTGTTTCCCTAGAAAGGAGGAAAAGCCTGAAAATGCTACCCCCTAATGGCACAACCGGGTGTGGGGTGCTGGCCTGGGAAATGCTGATCCAGGTTTTATCCACAGGGCTGGGAGTGCAGATACAGGGAATGGAAACACAGGGAATGGAAATACAGCAGTCTCTGCTGGCAAGATGTGCCCCTGGGGGGAAGAGAACTTGTGCAAACCCCCTGACAGCAGCTGTGCATGGGGTTATAGCAGGAACGGTGTAAAAATAGAGCCATTTTGTGGAATTCAGCTGAAATCAAACCGGGGCAAAACAAACCCGAGGGTCTCACATCCAGTGTCTGGGATGTGGGAGATGCTTTGAGTGTGGCAGGGGGGATCCTGCCTGCTCCAGCTCCTTCAGGACTCAGGCAGTCCCTGCAGAAGTTGATGGTGCGTTGATGCCTCAGACCAAAAGGATACAACTGAAATCAGGAGGGGGAAAGAAAAAAAAAAAAAAAGAAATAAAAAATACTCTAAAAGCGCAGAAAGTCACCAAAAGGCTTTTAGGATTTTAAAACATATATAGGGTTGTAAACTGGTTGTGGAGGTTCTCTGTGACACACATCTGGAGGAGAAAGGGGGTTCATCCAGTCCTCCAGGCAGGTTCCAGCTCCCCAGGTGGGAGTGGTGGAGCAAATGCCATGGGTGTCCCCTCGGAGGTGGGGGTGCACATTGATCCTGCTCCTCAAATCTTGTGCAAACCTTTGCAAACCTTCCCTTGTACGCTGCTCAGAAACCTCCACTTCATCTTTCTTTGGGATATCTCAAAAGTAATGCTCTTAAAAGTAATAAAAATCCTACTCTTTTCCTCCTCTGCTCCACTGTTGTCCTGCCCAGGAACCCCAAGCCCCACACAGACCAGATCACAGGTCAAGATCTTCTGCTCCAAACTCCACTAATCACGTCCTGTGTGACCCCTTTTCTTCCAAAGCTACAGCCTGACCTGGTCAGCAGGGATTTCAGGACCTTTTCCTTTCATTCCACACCGAATCTCAGGTGGCACCTTGGGGTGGTCTCATCACAGAAACGACGCAACAAGAGAGAAGAAGAGTCAAACATTAAAACAGACCCTGTGCTCTGAAAAGTGCGAAAATGCAACGGTCCTGCTGCTGTTCATTGCCCTGGAGAATTTTTGGAGAGTCCTTGGCATTGTCAGAGGTGTGACACCAGCAGAGCCTGAGGAAGGAGAAACACAGTGGATTTCTCCCCCGGTAGGGAATGAGGGTGGTTCTCCAGTTATCCAAAGGAATGAGAGGTTCCTTCCCTGTGTACCAAGAGCCCTCGGGTTTTTCTTCTGCTCAGTGCAAGTCTTGGGAGAAGGAACTTCCAGGTGAACTCCACAAGTATTATTATTGTTATTATTATTATTATCATTAATTCTTTTTTGTACAAGTGCTACAGCACGGCCTGGGCACGTGACAGGCTCCTGACACCGATCCATGATTTTATGGCTACCTGAGGTAGCACCAAGAACATCTGCTGGGAGTGGGCTTAGGGTTGAATCAGGGTTAAAGCCAAAGGGAGCCACATTTTTGCACACAGAACAGTTTGGGGTGGAAGGGATCTTTAAAGGCCATCCAGTCCAACCCTTTTGGGGTGAGCAGGGACATCTTCCCCTAGATCAGGCTGCTCAGAGCCCCGTCCAACCTGACCTGGAATGTCTCCAGGGATGGGCAACCTGTGAGAGTGTCCTACAAGGTAAAATCCCTCTGCTGAAACCCTGGAAGGAATCAATCACTGCTGGGCTGATTAAGCTTAAATCCTACACTTTTGCTGCCTGTTGGGCTCCAGGAACCTCCAACTGGATCCACACTGGGAAGGCAAATTTGCAAAGAGCTCCCTACTCAAACCGAGCCTCTGTGAAGCCCCTACGGAAACAAACACCAAAAGTGGCCAATTCCTTGACAACATCCCAATTTGGGCAGAACTGAGCCCAGTTCCACACTGGCTGTCCCAGGCTGTCCCTCCACGGCTCTCCCCACTCACCAGGCACACTGCACACACCGGTTGGGAATTTGTCAGGTTTTTGTTTGTTTGTTTTTTTTTTTTTTTTTTTTTTTTTTTTTTTT